ATGAAAACATGCATGACAACCGACAGAAAAACTATTTTTTCGTCGAGGTTTTTAATGTGAAAAAAGTTTGATTGGCTTAATTTTCTTGATTAAAGTACTGAAATTATAGTTTAGATATGATTATGTAAAGTATTCCGCAGCGCATCTTTTAAAAAAACATCGAGTCTTAAAAACAAATCCAAACCAAGTCATAAGCAAAATACTGAGAGGTTCGTTTATTCTGGAGCACGCGTTATTTTCTGCCACATTTCACTATTGTCAATCTTTGAAATATAAATTTTTTCACAGTGATTTACGTTTTATCTCTGTACACATATGTTTCATGGTGATGATGTAGATAGTTTGCTAACCTAAATATAAAAGCTACAAGCATGTTCGAGGGTTCTCAAAAATCCATTTGTAAAAAGTATAATAAAAGAATTTATAAAAAAAGTGAAGGTTCAAGATCTGTAACAACCATCTTTTTGTTAGTTTTTTGTAATGGTGAATAAGAAATACGTTTCATTCCAAAGAATAATTCACCTTTAAAAGTTAATACGAAAGACAATCCTCTTTTTTATATTTTTTTTAACTAATTTCAAATCAGTAACAAACTTAAAGAGATACATTCCTATTTGTATTTATGCTCTTATTTTTCTATTACAACTAATTCATTTTGAGACCATATATTTATCCGAGAATAGAATAAATTACTACTGTTTTATTTATTTGTTTATTTCTGTCATATCGAGATATATATGTAGTTCTGATAGTAGTGCTGTTGTTTTCAAATGTCTTTACTAATAGACTATACTGTATAATAATAATCTATTTGTTTCACATATGTTCTAACAATGAGTGACACTGGAAAATATCATAGATAAACCTATTCAGACCTATTAGTTGGCTAAACATTTCAGTTTTGAATAACCAGTAGTAAGTCGTAGTTCGAATATAAATGATAGTTATTATTAACTGCTCATGTATCTATGTATGTCTGTGTTATTGGTAGATTAAAATTCTGTTATTAACAGTACAAAAAAAAAAATATGTATAAAGAAAAAAACTGTATCTTTTTGTTCGCTATTAGGAACGTTAGAATACATAAATGAGAGGAAAAAAAAATGAGATATCGAATCAACATAAAGAAAAAATACATATATATTATATCATAATGTTTATATAAAAAGAAGCACACTTAAAGATGATAAATATGGATTATGTAATTTAAAATTCTTTTACAAAACATCAGTGCATAAAACTGACTGAAAAATTAGTAATACATAGGATTTTCAAAACCAGACTATAACATTAGTGACAACAAGACAGTAGTTAGAATAGACTGCGAGATCAGTTGAATCAATCAGATTCAATAAATAGTCATCAAATTGCTCATGTCGATTATCTGATGTAGTTGAAATTTGTCTAATTTGGAGGCTCGAATGTTAATATTATGTTCTAGAATTGAAATTTATTCGTTTCTTTCACTTAATCTAAGACGTGGAAGTCCTCTTTCCATCTAACTTTTATAGAGACTGCTAAATTTTAAAACCGATTAGATAAAGATAGTTACTAAAAATTAGTTTCATTAATTCTAGATGTCATCTCGAATTCGTTGTTATTTAATTGAAAAACAGTATGGTCTCATATTTAATATCGATGATATTCGTTTATTACGTGAAAAATATCGTATTATTGGTTGTTTTACGGGTAGTTCAGTTGCTTTTCCTAGACAAAATAATGAATTAAGTATACCATTAGAATTATCAATTGAAGAATGTTTTGTATTATTAAATCAAAAATTAATTCAATTATTTGAATTAAAAACTTTTTCACCTATCACTGATCAAAATCGTTTAACATATTTGAAACATTTAGAATTAGATTGTCAACAACAAATGATTAATTCAATTAACTCACGTATTAATGATATGCTTAGTAAACGTCAATTTATATTAGAAAATAGTCAAATGTTATCAACAATTGAACAAGATGAAGAAGAAGAAGAAGAATCTGTGAATAATTTATTAACAAAATTTGATTCAACTTTTGTACAAATATTAAATACAAATAATTCTTGGTTAAATTGTCAACAATCATTAACTATAAAAGAAAAACTTATTCTATTAAATGAATTTAAAAATCGAAATAAAAAATCTTCACTAGATCCTCATACACATACATTAGTTGAAATTCCAATTGAATCTTATCGTCAACATGAGTTAATTCCTATATTAGATATTTTAAGTGATTTATCATTGATAAATAATAATGATAAAAAATTAAGATGTCATGTATTTCAAGATTTATGGATAAAAGGATATTTTATCAGTAATGGACAAAAATTTGGTGGAGATTTTTTAGTATATACCAATGATCCACATATATGTCATTCAACATTTATTATACATTGTATTCAACGAACGACGACCGCTAATCAAATACCATTAATAAGTTTGATAGCAAAAGGACGTCTAGCATCAAATGTTAATAAAACGTCTGTGATAGCCACATATAAACAATCGATTACTATCGATGATGATGAGAAAATAGACTATTTGTCTATTAATTGGACTGGGATCTGATATGAGACTTTTCTAGTAGAAAGTAATAAAAAAAAAAAAAAATTATTTTTGTATATTTCATATCATTATTTTTCCATAATAAAATGATGATTGATATTAGTGATTGATACATTTCTCAGTATCTTGTTGGATCATTTTTTATCCTATTTTAACAGCATTCTCATTCAAATTATTGAATGAAAATTAACTTTAGTAAATTTTTCATTGTTTTTCCAAGAGTGTTGATGTACAAGATGTTTCTTTCGTTTTTTTCTACTCATTTTATTTATTAGTAGTTCTGGGATATTGTATATTTGAAATTGAATTGTTATATGAATTCAACATAAAAAATGATTTATTAAATTGATTAACTTGTTTTGTACTAATTTGAGAAGTATTTGTCAACTGTTTAGAGTCTTCATTTATTTTTTTCTTTCGATTAGTTTCGTGCCGATGTGAACCGAAAAAAAACTGTAAACATATCTTATTTGACAAATAGCAACTGTAAATATCTGCTAATTTATATATAAAAATCAGAAATTAGAATTTTGAATATAACTTTAAAAAGTGACCGAAAAGCGTTTATAAAGAAGAAATAAGAGTTTTGATAAACATCATTTTCCCATTATATTTTGAAATATAAAACTAATGAATTTATTGGTTGGTATCTGTTCACTAAATACCAATGATACGATCATTGTGAATAATAAAAAAAAAAAAAACTTTTCTCGGGTAATTTTATGTTGTTACAATGTTAATACTTTTTAACTTCTATTGTTTATTTTCATTTGTGTTCCTGTGCTCTCTTTATGTTCTATACAACATACTGTGTCAATGATTAGCGTACTATACACAAATTTGTTTTAAATACACCAGAAGTGAAGGACGATGAGATACACATACACACTTAGGTAGTCTTCATCATTATCTCTCTCTCTCACTCTCTCTCTCTCTTGGCATAGTTAAGTCTATATGTATATATTTATACATTAATGATAATTTTGTAAGCATCATACGCCCAAATAGATAGATGATGATTTCCGCATCTTCTATTTTTTTTTCTTCTCTTTTTCTCTATTTATTTATTATAAGAGATTAACAGATTTATGGCAATTTGTTCCCCTTGAAACGAACATACAATGTTTTTCTTCTTTATTAGCAAACTCTACAACGTTTTTTGTATAATACAGATTCATTAATGACAACAACTATATGTACATAATTATCGACTTGTTATTGAAAAGTGAAACCTACTCTATCTATATATCTATACTGTGAAACAAAACAAAATAATAAAAATAGGATATACAAAATAAGCCGCTCGCTACTACGTGGCAAAATAACGTTTGACAGATATGTATACACACAGTATTCTGGCTAAAACGATGAGGGTATACAATAAAATCTTTATGTCCTAGAATAGCATCAATGGATAAAAGAATAGTATTGCTTAGTGAATATTATACTATCATTAACATTTGTCAAAAAATAAAACAAAAAAATTGCTAAAGAAATTTTCTTTATTAATTACATACTGTAGAGACATATATCTTCTCTAGCAGTTGGAATCAAATGTTAAAATCTCCATTTCTTTTTTAATTCCAATACGAAAATATTTTCTCTCTTGTTAATACGTCTGATATCTACCATTCAATTATATTAACGCAATAATTTTTGCTCAACTATTTCTACTTGCATCTTTAATTTTTAAAAAAATTCCTATTTTGTTCAAAAACAATGACCATGACATCAAAATCGGTAATAAATCATCGATTAATTGCAATTTTTGTTTTTGAGTTAATTAATTGATAGAACAGTTACAATTTTGACATAGGTGGCTTTTTGAAAATGAACATCTGCGCTTTCTTGTTATTTTTTTTTGATCATCTATTTTAAGACAGAATGTTTGAAGTCATCACTACTTATGCAAATTTTTCTCTTATTTTAACACTCCTCAAATTGATAGTTATACTAATTAGTGTTTTAAGACAAGTGATAAAAATGTCAACTAGAAGCAGTTGAACTATGGTAGTTAAAGTTAATTATTGCCTATGATTTTTATTGAGTTATAAGTTACAACACAATAAAAAATTGATATATGTCAATTATTTATTCATAGATTGTTTTTTTCTTCTATCTATTATTATTCGATTAATAAATGCAAACAAGTAGGATACATTCAGTTTTATAATATATGCGGCCATCTATTTGTAATCGAGCTTCGTTCATTTATCACCCTCTTATCGTTAACATAAAATACAAAAGAGTCAAAGTATCTAAAATAGAATTAAATATTATGGAGAAAAAAGAAAAATAATATAATACATTGTGAGTTGAGTTAAGACTTCATATAGTAACCAAAACGAATATATATTATTCTTTATTTCAAATTTAGATTTGTCTTTTTCTTCTTCTCTTATTATTCGAATTATTGAAACAATCAACTTAAAAGAGAAAAAAAATGCCGTGGTAGTACATTAAATTACAAAAATATTTTGTCAATTGTTCATGTTTATCTTTAAAAAAAGAAGAAAAGCACTTGACACACATTTTTACATTGAATTTTTATAACAGATGAGTGTCGTCTATAGAAGGTAACTTTATAGAAAATCTTCTAAGATCAATAACTTCTATTGCTCTACTTGCAAATAGTTGATTAGTGTGAACATTATATTTCAATCTACAATGATTGATTAATTTTGGAACTTTCTATTGTCGAAATTGTCATTAATTTTCGTATTTGTAAAAGAAAATTTAGAAATTCTTAAAAATTCAGTTAAATGACAATATTGGATTAAAAATTTGTCGATTTTAATTCCCATCAGTCGTTTTTGGATGTTTACTGATTTTTATGTTGAAATTTTATCATCTATTTGACTATGAACGATATTTTATAAAAATAATTAGTTCATTGTGTGTATTTATCATTTTTTATTTCTAATTCTATTTGATATGTTGATATATTAAGAAAATGTGTACGATCATTATCATCATTGGCCATTGATTTTTTTCTTTTTAATTTTTAATGATTAGTGCGTCCATCTTCATCTAACGGAAAACTCATTGATTGGATAATATTCATTCACCACTCAATCTTCATATTTTTCTTCTTTTTCTTGGTTGTTATTTGATTTAAATTGATGTATGTTAATGTTATACTCTGACCGATACCTCTCTCATATCTTCATTAATAATATAAGTACCTAATCGTTAAAAAAACATAATTGAAAAAAATGGTGTGTTGTAAAACAAATAGAGAAGAAGAACAAGAAAAAAATCAACACATCTCTAATATTTAAATATAATAGTGATGTTTTTCTTCTTTTTTTTTTTGCTTTACTTGGTTTATAATGTAAACATCAATAAATTTTAAATTGAAATCCAATTCAAATGCAAACGAAGCAAAAACGAAAAAAAACTGAAATAATGATGTTTTTTAAGAATAAACAAATAATCTGGCAATGTTGTACTCAAGTAGTTAGTATGTTTTATTATTATCAATAATAGAAGCATGTGTGTCAACGGTTGCCAGAGCTAATGTGATTTATACATACACACACACCCACATACATCAGTTTGAGTATGTGTGTGTGTCTACCTTCTGTTAATAAATATTGTTACTTTATAATATTTTTAAAGAGCCAAAGATCGACAAACAAAACATCATATCGTGTTTTATAGAAGATATGAATCTGATTTTGTATACTAAAAGAAGAAAATTGAATTAGTGATAATTATTTGTGTTTTCTCATATTCTAATTATGAACAATATAGTAATGAATTTTTAACTAATTCATATGATTGTATCTAATAGCACAGATCATAAAACGTTATAAGAATATTATTTTTTTCTTAATGTTTTTTTTTCCCCTCATGGTCAACTAAATTTGAAAGAAAAAAATCATCACATCAAAGTCTTATTAGTCGAGTCAATGAGTATGAGATTGTGGGTGGGTGGTATTTATATATATATTCAAGGTCTCCCTTTTTTTTCTTCATTCTTTTGACGGAAGTTTTAAGTGTCACAAAGTCAAGAGAAATATTGAACAACTCTTGATGAGTATGCTGAACGGTTCTCTCTTTTACTCATCACCATGGGTGGCAATATTGCCGGCCTCTTGTTACAGTTTATTCATTAGTGTCACTATTACTACTATTGTTATTTGTAGAATTGTAGAATAGTTGCCGACAATGCGTATCCTACAGGCATTCTGATTACGTTTGTGTATATTGTTTTTCATCATTTTCATCAACGCATGTTTCAACGACAACAATATTTTTGCTTTTGGCTAAAATGTTAGTGATTGTCTATGACTAAAAGACATTCTTTGAAAGATTATAAGTCGTTTTATTTAACTGATTATACCTTGGTGATCAATCATAATCAATTGAATGGACATTTATCTGATTAAATCACAAAAAGAAGAAAGAAATCAGTTCAAATAAAATAACATTATCAGTTCATGTAATATTAATTTGTACCTATACTTCATTAGTTCATCTTTATTCATCTTATAAAATTTGATTTTAGATATTTATATTATACGAGTAGAAATTAGAGACTTTTAGACTGATATTTGGAATATTGATAAGACGAGTATCACATCGAAATGTGACGAACACACTTCCCACTGTTCATATGAAAGTTCTCCATTGATCTTCTTCTTGTTAATAGTATGGAAGAATTGAATGTATCATAAAAGATTCTAGTGATATTTGTTTTTTTTTATATACACTTATTAGAGACAAACATGTAATCATGAATGCCAAGACGTTTTTTCTCGTGTGCAATAATAGTAAATAAAAGGAACAGCTGACATGTTTTAATGATAAACGTCCAATCGACACATACACATTTGTAGGTAAACCATACTTTGTCATTTTTTTTCTTCTCTTATTTTATATATCGATACATAGATCATGGTCAATAGTGTGTTGATGGACCTTATCCTTTCGTTTTTGCCTTTCATCCGGATCATTACACATTGTACATATCATCTATCAATAATTGTTTTGTTAAAAAGTAACTAAGTATTATTATTCTTTATACATTTCAATGATAGATATGTCAACGTGTGTTTTTAACACCAACTTATTCATTAAAAAAACAAAACATTGATGTAGTTCACTCGTAAAACATGCACATCCTTTTTTTAGATTCTTCTAGTTCTATACTTATAAATAATAATAGAAAACTTCTTATAGTAACTAAATATTGGTCAATTAAACGTGTATTTTAGGAGTGGTTACTATGCAATAATGATTAGTGTTTTTGAACCAATAGAGTTTCTTTTTTTTCTTAAAAAATAAAAACCGAATACAAATTGTTTCAGTACTTCTTTGCACTATCATAATACGAATATATCAGTTAATAACTTGACCGTTTCCCTCCTACTCATAGTTATTTGTTCATTTATCGATATGTCACACATTCATTATTCGTTGACAAATAAAAATAGAAACGTGTGATGGTCACTGTACATATATCTATCTATCTATATATATATATATATATATATGGTATTGAGTAAGAAAGGATTATATGTTGATGAATCCGTTCATTTTAAATTGAAAATGAATTAACAATTGTCAATATAGAGATTGTACAGCAGATGTACTATATATAGTTTATAGAAAAGTAAAGAAATATGAGCAATATGACTCCATTTTTTCTATTAATTTTTGCCTTTTTCCTTGATCCCTACCGCACCTACACATTCTACAAACTTGTCAAACATTGACGATGTAATAAAAATTTGTTCAACGTTCAAAGTTTAGTAATTTGATCAACATACATACAGGATCAGTAGTATTATTATTAGACTCTACAAAAAAAAGAAAAAGTGAACTATCCCATAAATTTACCATTTTAGTTATTTGGTGTCAGTCTGATCACACAAAAAAGATAAAACTAATGATAATGATGTTTTATTGTCTATTGTTCATAGACAGTTTATTTGTCATCATTGCAAGCTGTGAATGAAGCCAGAAAAAAAAAAATCAAACATCCATTTTGTATAAAACATGTCATCATCAAAGTATAGAGACCGTAGTTATGGTCGTCAAAAAATAGAAAATGAAATAAATTTCAATAGAAGGTGTTTAGTGAATACATCATATTAAAAAAGAATATATGTATCTATATATACATACAACAAATTGAGCTAATGTAACAGATGGGATTATTATAGGACAGAGTTTTCATTTTATAATTATATATTTAGACACGTTTTAACAACATTTTTATGCAATAATTATAGGTGGGTATCCTTCATCTCTTAGATTTTGATTAGAGTTAGAGATTATGTCGTCGAAAGAATGTGTCCAGATCTTTGGATACAATTATTATTGTTTCGTATTTAGTCTTATATATCGACTTTATTCTTATTGAAACGACATGGATTAGAAAAAAAAAACCAAACAAAAATGTGGAACAAAAAGTATAGCGAAAGCACGAGAAAAAAAAGAAGAAAAAAGCCAATAAATGTATTTAGTATAAAATGTATTAAAATGGTCACATTTCTGCGAATCAACTTGACCCACCTAAAGACAGTATATATTTTGATATTCTTTACTCACGTATATTTCTAACTTGTTTTTCCTGCTGTTTGTCCGATCGATCCCGTAGAGGATAGTAAATGTTCAGTACTAAATCTATTAGATATCAATGATGTTAAGGCACTGTTATTATTATGATGATTATTGGCTGGATGATTTCGTAGAAATATATCGTGATGATAGGCTGCTGCACCACTCGGATTTGGATGTGGATAATGAGCTAATATATGTGGATCAATACGATGACGTTGTTGATCGTTTGACGACCATAAGGCAGCTGACGCATAAACAGCAGCGTGTGCTGAATAGGGCCATGTACATGCTGTTAAATAAGCTTTATCAAATGGTGTCAATGTTGATGGTAGAGTTCGTTTGAAAGCAGCTAAACGATTTCTGGATGTAGATGAACGTCGACGTAATTTTCCAGTTGTTGCACCAATAAAAACATCATCAGCCGAAGGGTCTAACATCCAATAATTGCCTTTACCTGGATCATCGTAATGACGTGGTACTTTGACAAAACATTTGTTTAAACTAAGATTATGACGAATACTATTTTGCCATCCTAGCATGAAAAAAAAAAGAATTAGTCATTATGGTTTGCATCATTTTCCATTTATTGCCGATTAGATATCGTTCTGTTTAGCGATATCGATAGGTATAAAATTTTAAAACTCGTACGTTTTCCCTGGATAAAAATTACTCAATTTTTTTCAATAATTATACTTCTGCTAATATTTCCTATCTTACCTTGTTTATTTTCACGATAATATGGAAAATTTTTCATAATAAATTCATAGATTCCATTTAATGTTAAACGTTTTTGTGGTGATGCTCTAATAGCCATCATTATCAATGCATTGTATGAATAACTTGGTTTTGTTCCATATTTATTTTTTGGTTGAGATGCTGTTTGTGTTGATGTCACTGTACCAGAACCGGATGGTGCTGAAGATTCGGAGGAAGGTGAAGATGAATTTTGACTTTTTTTACTATTATTTGTTGTTGTTTTGTTGTCATGAAAATTTGATTTTGTTTTATCTTTTGTCGTATTTTCTTCTACAATGTGATTGTCTTCTTCTTCACTGTAGGAGGAATGTTCTGATAATGATTCAGTACAAAATTGTCTCTTATTACTGCTACTATTATTATCATCTGAACAATAGGTACCAGCATCGGATCCAGGATCAATTTCATCATTTTCTTCATCTTCTCCATCACTAAATTTATGAATATAATTTTCTTTCAATACTAATTCTTGATCATTTGTTCCATTTTGTAATAATAATAAATCATCACTGTTGTTATTATTTGATTTTATCGATATTGGTAAAAGTTTTTCTTTTGATTGTTTTTTAAACAAATGATTATGATCATCGTCATCGTCTTCTCGATCGTCAATAGATCTTTTAAGAGATTTTGATAAAGATAATCGTTGTTGATCTAATGTGTAAGTTGTTTCACGAGATAAATTAAAATTATGATTTGATAGTGATAAAAAATCGGTTGAGGAGGTAATTTTTCGTTTCATTTCATCAGCTGTCTAAAAAAATAACATGAAGAATAACAGTCTCAAAATGGTGGATTCTTTAGACTCTGGATTGAAATCAATAGATTTGACAATAAAAGTTCGCGATCTCAATTATCGTGGAAAGAAGAAAAGTCTTGACTAATTATATAAACTGAGCAAGCGCCGAGATATCGAAATATTGTGTCTGAAGGCAAAATAGTCGATCTGTCGTAGGAGTTCATTTATACCAAAAAGTGTTTTGAATCGTCACTTTGATTTATCGCTATGAAATAACCTACCAAACTTGTTCGTCAATTAGAGTCATTAAGAGTGTTTATGTTCGCGATGTGACAAAATATGACCACTTGAAATTCCTAAGTACACACGATACCTTAATATTTAAGAACCGCTTTTAAATGTATAACTCTAACTAAAAATCTTCAATTACTAAATATTTTTAAGCAAAAAAAAGTAACTATACATACGTAATTTGGCGATAGCTCAATTGATTTATGATATAAATGGGACCTTTTTTCGGTGGTTACTTCATCTTCACCCAATACACTACGTATCGAGAATGAGCCAAGAAAAATTCTTTTAGCCGGTACGGGAGCCATTGAGTTTGATAATGGTGATGAAGGAGATGATGCGGATTTATCCAAAGTATTATTTGAATTTTGATCGTTTTTTGTCATTATTTTTTTTATAAAGTGTTAATAATAACGTTTTTCTCCATTGGTTATGTATAGTGGTAAAAAGAGTGTAATTCTAGAAGAAAATAATAATATTTCTGTAATAACAATAATAATACGATAAAGTACTTTGATAATAAAAAAAAAAGAGAGAAGAGAAAAAAGGAGTGGAAAGAAACATTTTTTTGTATTCTAACAAATATTATATATTTTTTTCATGTTTGATCAACAGACGAATCATATACACGCTATATACCTAACATCACCCAACTGTTGCAACTCTATTTTGTGTCTTTGTAATCATTACGATATTTGCACACATAGGTGTTCACCAATGTTTCTGAAGTTTTTTTTTATTTAAGAGAGAAAAAGAGAGAGAGAGAGAGAGGTACGCACATATATATTGCGAAGAAGAAAAAAGAAAAATTCATCCATTCGGGAGTATATGCACAGAGAGAGAGAGAAATGAACACGCAGCCAATGTCATTTTTTACCAATAGAAATTTTTTTCATATTTATACCATCAATTAGAAATGTTTGTAACTAAATAAGCACTCATGTTGTGAGTCAACAAAAAAATACTAGTTAAAATTGAAAATGTAAATTTTCTTGTTGTATTATGCGATAAGAAATTTCAATTTCAAAATACAAAACTCATATATAAAAGGTTTAAACTAAAATTTAACTCTATTCTTTGTTAGAATGGTAATTCGTCTTTCGTTCACTTCAACTTTTTTTTATCAAGCAATAAACTTTTTCTTTAGATTCTGTCTTTATCGTTTCGGTATTTGATAGTCTATATTTTTTATACCGGTCTAAAACTCTCGATCTTTCAAGATGAATGACATAGTATCGTATCAACACGACAAGATTGTACCAATAATAATTCAAAATCTGAATTCGAGTTTAACCTTGACCCAATTGTTGATTATCGTTATTTTAGTAACTTCTCTCTCACAAATATACAAATAATAGATTTTAGCTATTTGATAGTATCATAACAGAATAACACAGTTCTTTTTTTTTCTTCTATAGAGTAGAGTAGAGTATATGTTGTTTACGTTTCAGTTGTCACTATAATACCTAATTGGGCTTCTTTTGATTTAGCCAACATCACGATTAAACATATGTATCAGAAGAATCCGACAGCTGCCTTATCAACATAACAGAAAAAAGGCAATCTAGTCGTTTTTCTTTCTTTCTTTTTGCAAAAGCCAGAACACACATTTAAAATAAACTATGTGTGTTGTTTGTTATTTACTAGAAATATAACGATTATGATTGATATATAAAGACGCAAAAATATATATATACATTAATATATTATAAACCAACCGAAATGCAAGTGAAAACTGATCTTTTTTTCGCGATTTAAACAGTCAATTTATAATTGCTATTAATAACAATTGTCAATATGTTATTTAAGTTTAGTTTTTGCCTATAAATTCAAAGTCTTATGATTTTTTTATTAACGTAATAGTTCATTTCTAAACAATGATAAGATCTAAACTCTACAAATGAGCGGCGATTGTGTTATGTTTATATAGTGTGATTATAGAAGACTGCCAAAAATGAACTTACTTCTGAGATTGTAACTATCGATTACAATTAGAATATGTTGTCTGTTTTAGTTATCGCGTTGTGTATATGTATGCAAATAAGCCGCTTCCGATGTAGCAATGAGAAAGTGAGATTCATCAGTCAAATAAACAAATAGATCGACACCAGAAACGGATGTTCTATACAGAAGAAGATCTGCTCTAGAAAAACTTATTGTTTAAAAAAAATAAAATCAAACAACTAACAACAAAACAATTATCGTCTTACAGACAAGAATAAAAAAAGTGAACAGCCGACCGGAAATGATATATAGTTAACTTTTCATATTCTAAATTATAAATCACATTTTTGCTACACTTATCTGCAAGTGTTCATTATTATCATCAGTGTAAATTACTAATAATTAGAGTATCTCTCTCTTAAAGTAGTGAAATAAGAACTAATTTTACACACACCTGTTGTACACAAGTCGAAATGTATTAAATTTCTATCATTATATATATTTCATTTCAGTTTAGTCGTATTAAATTGATTATTTCCGTCACAAAAAAATTTAATCTTGTAAAAAGCTGTCCGTCTCTTTTTCTTTTTTCATAATGTCAAAGTCTATAATGAGAGGATTTTGAAAAAAAGCAAAGGGAAAACAATCATTGAAACCATCGGAAGTTCTTAAAGAGAGGAATAGAGAAATAAAGAACTGTTACGTGTTTTTCGTTCTTCAGCACGCAATTTGTGATAAATTATAGAATAAGAGATAGAGAGAAAGAGAGAGAGTGTAAAAATTAAAAAACTTATTGGTGCATCGCGGCACTTCTTTTAAATAGTGAAACTAGTGGTTTTTCTCAAAAATGATAAAAAGTTTTGTGCTAATTATTTTTATATATACAAAAAAGTGTCATTGACGAATTCCAGTATAAATCACCAACAGTGGAACGTGCTTATCGCTTAATGTAATTTGTACGTTTTTTCTTTTGTGAAAGAATGCTACTGTATAAGAAAAAATTTTGGTTTCAAATATGAAAAATGAAGATATTCTATGACCCGGATTCACTCAACGTGTCTTGTTAATGCCAAAGAAACACTAGTTACAAAAGTTCGACGGTGACCCCAGGCGAACGTATACATAAATAAGATTCTGTGTAAAAATAGAGCGTTTAAGCAATCCATGGGGAAATTCTATCGAAGTTTCACGACGTTGACGTCATGAAACATCAAATCACGTGTAAATTTCACACGCGTTCACGAGCGAGAATTCTTTTTACGTGTGTCCACACATTATTTTACGACTTCCACTAGTGACCACGTACGAAAAATATGACGTGAAAAGTTTCCATGAGCAGTTCACGCGTTGTTACAAGTGGATTATATTTTTTACGCATGACCACACACCATTTTACGATGTTTACATGTGACCACACTTCGTTTCACGATATTCACGGGTGTACACGCCGTTTTATATACTAAAATTTCCCTAGGGGAAAGCTATATGCACCGATTTGTGTGTGCTAATGTTATATTTCGCCTGTACCCTAGAAACTATCACAGTGGTATCCTTCTTGTCTACTACCAAAGTGCAGAGAGATAAAACTGAAATTATCTTTTCTTTCGCTATTCATGCAATAATCTCTCACAGAACAAAATTATACTATCCATCGTTATAGTATCATCAATAGATTTTGGCGTCGTCTAAACTTTTACACACATTTGAGCGTTCGTGGAGTCATTATTTAGTTTTTCTTTTAACATGTTCGTGTTTCGTCATTATTTATGTTGTGTTAAATAACAATGAAACAAAATCATTTAATAACTGTCTGTTGTTCTGTGTATGTAGATTCTTTATTCTATCGAAGTTTGTTTATAAATTCATTAATCTTATTTTAGTTTTTCGACGTTTGTTTTTGAAAATGCTCTCTTCTTCAAGTAAATAGACCTAGAAATATATAAATGCAGAATTTATTGTTGTTTTTTTTCCCTGCGTTTAACTAAGCTTATCGAAAAGAAGAAAAAAAGAAGAACGTATAAATAATGACGATGAAAGTTATCAGTTTTTAAAAATATGTCCTGCTGGTTTTTAAATGAAATGCTACGTGTTGGAAAAGTCAAAGTATTTTTTTTCATGTTCGTAATGTCATGAAGCCTTTCTAACTTTTGTCTGAAGTAACTGACAAATCAAAATATGCATCATCCTTCTAGTGACTAGTTGATAAAAATGATCCGATTTACGTTACGACTTATAAGGTGATTGTAACAGAATGGGATTGAGTATTTCTAAAAATCTCGTTTGTGACTCAGAATTCTAAACTTCACTGATTATTGACAGTCTCACGTTACAGACTTTTGGTAAGAAAAATTCGGAACCTTAGAAGCAGTCGTTATTTCCAGATTAATTATCACAATATAGTGTTCAATACTGAAAACCATAAAATGATCTAATCAAGTTTTTCAAACTCTATGGAAGAAAATTATAGTATAAGAGATTATCAACAAGATTTTTAATTAAATGGAAAAATAATGATTGTCTATGTTTAGAATTCTATATTGATATTTTAATTTCTCGTAGACTCTGTATTTATTTGAAGTAAGAGTTTCTATGCTGCCATTGTCATACTCATCTCTACATGTGTGTTGACTTTTTAAGAACAAATTACTGACGATAGTACAATTATGTTGATACATAGAAAGTGTACAAATACATGTCAAATATAGACTACGGTACATTGAATTTAGAAAATACACTTCTTTTTCTTGTTGAGTTATTAGGATAAGTGTATACAGAAGTGAAAGAAACATATTCTATCGATCGATGATGATGATGGTATCACACTATGTTAATATAGTTTATTTATGCATGTTGAATAACTGATAGTCAGAGAAACAATTTGATCAACAAACAACAATAGATTACACACGAAGAAACACATAGACATACCAATAGAAAAAGAGAATGAGATTCTTCAATAATTCCAATTAATTTCGATTTGAAAGATGCGTAAAATTAATAAAGCATTAAGATTCTTTCTCTCTCTCTTGTTTTTTGAATGGCCGATAAAACACGCACACAACATGTCGTATTTTTAATGGGTATGCGTTTGCTCATGTTTAATTTGCTCAATTTTAAATTGATGAGTTGTTTGTTATTATGGGGTGCCATATATATACATATATATATTAATTTCCGCTATGGAAAAGAAAATCTTAAATAAATGTTATCATATAGTAACAAAACAATTAGGCTTTGATCTATCGTATAGCAAATGAATGAGTGTGCGCTAAATTTTCGCTTCATCAAATTTCAATAGAAATTTTTCAAAAATATATACTTACTGACATTTTATCTATCAATAAACACAATTGTACACATAGGTGATTAGAACACATAATATTCCAGTATATGTATGCCGACCTTCCTATTATCGACAATATGTTCATTGGTGACGACAAAA